CCCAAGGAGGCCCACCGGGCACCCTCACCTCTAGTCTGGCTTTCCCCTGTGGTGGCCTCCCTCCACACAGAGGGAGCTGTCGCCAGAGAGGGAAGGTACACTTGGTCAGCGTGGACAGGGAGCCCTGTCCATTGGACATCGGCTTCAGTGCTCAGCTCAGATATTTTTTGAGACCCGGCCCCGGAGATGTTCCCATTCATCCCTCCATTTTACAGATGGGGAAACTGAGGCTGGGGCACATCAAGTGAGTTGCACAAGGTTGCACTTAGTCAGGGGCAGAATGGGATTTGAATTCAGTCCTCTGTGACCCCTGGGCCACTTCATCAGTGGTTCTCAAACTTGATCAGGCTCCAGACAGAATCTCCCTAGGGTTTGTTAATAACCCCCAGAGCTTCAAACTCGGTAGGATTGGTGGGTCCTGAAAGTCCGCGTGTCTGACTGGTCCCCAGGTGATATTTAGGCAGCAAGTCTGAGGATCCCACTGACAACCACCCAGCTTCGCCATGCTGTGTCCTGGGCAGTGCCCCCTGCTGCAGACCAGCAGAGAACCTGCTTACGAACCTGGGAAAACACCCTGTCCCTGACAGGCCATGTGACTTTGAGCTCCCCGGTGCCTCAGCCTGTCCGCAAAGCTACCTCCATAGTCCAGCTGCAGTGAGGATGAAATGAGCAACTGGGCGCACGTGCTCAGGCGCAGTGCTGGGCTCACGAGGATGCCCACTCAGCTCGCGCCAGCCTATACACAAGAGGACACCAGGGAGGTGCTCTTGGACCAGGGAATGTTCCGACACATCACAGCTGCCACAGCCAGGCCCTGGCGCAGAAGGAGCCCACTTACTGCACCCACTCTCCTTTGTCACGTCCTCCCTCTCTGCAGTGTTGCTCTCTCATGATCCCCTCCTCGGCTGAGTCGTCACTGCCAGTCAGGAGAAGCACATTCCTGCCCCACACGCAGGGGGCTCAGAGGCAACGTGACTTGTAGTGGGTTGAACAGCGTTCCCCCCAAAATTCAAAATTCAAGTCCATCCAGAACCTCAGAATGTGGCCTTATTTGGAAATGAGGTCTTTGCAGATGTAATTAGTTAGGGATCTTATAATGAGATCATCTTGGATTTCATGCTGGTTCTAAGTCTAAAGACTGGTGTTTTTATAAGAGGAAAACGCAGGGACACACAGGAGAAGGTCATATGAAGACAAGGCAGAGATTGGGGTGATGTGGCCACAAGCCAAGGGACGCCTGGAGCCCCCAGGAGACCCTGATTTAGCATTTCTCGCCTCCAGAACTGGGAGTGAGTAAATTTCTGGTGTTGTAAGCACCCCCACTGTGTAGACATGTGTGACAGCCACCCTAGAACACAAAGACACCATCATACAGGGCTAAGGTGAAGACTTGGGAGCTCATGTGGGTAAAGTTTCTGGCTACAATGACTATTTTAAAAGTCAAATTAAAGTCCTGACTGGTGTGGCTCAGCTGGGCAACATCTTGCAAAGCTAAAGGTCACAGGTTCAATTCCCAGTCAGGGCACCTGCCTGGGTTGCAGTTTTGGTCCTCAGTCGGGGCACATATGAGAGGCAACTGACTGATGTTTCTCTCCTTCTCTTTCTCCCTCTCTTACCCCCTTTGTAAAAATAAATAAAATCTAATTAAAAAAAAAAGTTAAACTGAAATGTTTTCCTTTGATGAAGCCAGGCCTCTGGGACCAACCTGCCCGGGCTCAAATTCCATGTGGATCCTGGCTGTGTGGTCCCAGACCGATGGTACTGCCTCTCTGTGTCCCAGCTTCCTCGCCAGGAAACGGAGTCACACTGGGGCCAACTTCGTGGTGGGGTGGGGGGCGAACGAGTCACCCACTAGCAGCGTGCAGAGAACAGGGCCCGCCCAGGCTCGGCCTCCCAGGAAGAATTCACCATTTATCCTAATTATTTGTATAACTGAGATTCTGATTGCTTAAGCTTATCCCAAAGAAATAATAATTTACAAAAAATCAAAAGAGCAAAGTTGTTCAAAACAGCCTTCTCTACAAAAGCAACAAGTTGGAAACAACCCAAAGACCAGCTCTATTTGTTTTTCTGTTCTAGCAAATTGTATTTCTAATGACACATGATGAAAATTACTATACAACCCTCTTGAGTAAGAAATGAAGCCTGGGCCCTGGCCAATGTGCCTCAGTTGGTTGGGGGTCATCCTGGAAAGCAGAAGGTCACAGGTTCAATTCCTGGTCAGGGCACATGCCTGGTTTGTGGGCCGACCCCCAACTGGGGCATGTGCTAGAGGCAACCAATCAGTGTTTCTTACCTTTTTAAAAATAAATAAAATATCAAAGAAAAAAGAAATGAAGCCTACACGAAGGAAAACTACCCAGGTGCACGTGCGACCCGCTGGGAGCCGCTTGACTGCGGTGAAAGGGACACGTTGCTTTGTGAATGGCAGGTTTTAAAGTCCCATTTTCTACAGAAATTCCTTTCTTTTTTTAAGTTATATTTTACTGATTATGCAATTATGGTCATCCTGATTCTGCCCCCTCCACCCAGCACCCGCAGCCCCTCAGGCTGCCCTCCGCCACTGTTCTTGCCCATGGGTCACGGGACTCGGGCCAACCCGAGACCACCTCCTGATGAACTTGACGTGGCACTGAAGAACTGGAAACATTACCGCCTCGGAAACGGCAGCACCAGCACCAAAGCATTAACTGAATTCAAAAAAGAGACCGCACAGAACTGTGCGTGCCAGCGCCACAACCAGGTAAAACTGTGCCTGCTGGCAGCCAGGTAAGAGAAGGCACAGGGACCCTGTGAGGGTCACAGGACTGCGGGTGTCTGGCACAGCACGGCTTCCTCTAATGGGACATATTCCTTGCGGAAGCAGAGAAAACAAGGCTCTGTGGAGGACGCCAAGGCAGCCGGGAGCCCGGGTCTGCGCTACCTTGGTTTAGCACAGGGAGAAGGGCTCCATGCCCCGCCCTCCCTAGGCACGCCCAGGCCTGTGTTGGCCAAGGCTGAAGAAAGAGCTGGGGGTGGGCAGGGTGCTGGCAGCCCAGGGCCAGCGGGCTGGCCCCAGAGAGCTAGCAATGAAAAATGTATGAGCAAACCTGCTTGGTACCGCTCACTCCCGTTCCAGCACTTAGCTCCTCCGGGGCCCAGCAGGAAGAGGAGGCCCTTTTAGAAGCTCCCAGCCCCAGGAGTACTCCACCTGCAGCTCAGGCTTTCAGTCCTGGGTAGGTGGGGTGGGGTGATGGGTAAGAGGTAGGAACTCTCAGTGTCTGCAAGTCCCAGGTCTCTCCCGGGGCTGAGTCCCCAGCCTACCTTGGGCTGGAAGATAAGTGGCCCCAGAGGTCCCTTCAGGGGCTTAAATATCCTGACGCAAAAGCCAAAGGTGGAAGCAGCCTGCTGTCCCTCCAGGGAGGAGTGGATGGACCAACTGTGGTCTACACCCACAACGGAATATTATTCAGCCTCAGAAAGAGACTCTGACACGAACTACAACGTGGATGGACCCTGAGGACACTATGCTGCATGAAATAAGCCAGTCACAAAAAGACAAATACTGCACGATGCCACTTCCGTGAGGTCCCAGAGCAGTCAAATCCATAGCAGCAGAAAGCAGGATGGTAGGTACCAGGGGCTGGGGGCGCGGAAGGGGGAGTTGGTGTTCAGTGGGGACCATTTCAGGTTGGCCAGGTGGGAAAGCTCCGGATGTGGATGCTGGCGACGGCTGCGCAGCAGTGCGGATGTACTTAGTGTCCCCGAGCTGTGCACTTAACGGCAACTAAAATGGTAGATTTTACGTTATGTATATTTACAGTAAAAACCAAAACAAAAAGTTTGTCCTGGCCACCTACGCTGTGCCGGGCACGGGGGAGACCTGCAGTGAAGCCTGGGGAGCAGGGTCTTGGGCCTCTAAGGTTTGACCTCTGGACCCCAGCCCTGGACTTCCACCCCCTAGAGACACTCACTCAGCAAACACCTTCCCCAGCTCCTGCCTGGGCTCAGCCTGGAACCTGAGAGGGGCCGGGCCCTGGAGGGACATGGGCTGTTTAGGTCCCGTTAGCACCTTACACCCACTTAGCCAACAACAGCCTGATTTCCTCCGGGGGAACCGTTGCTCCCCACTTGCCCACGGTCTTGGAAGAGCTGCCTATCAAGTCGCCCCACCTCCCACTGAAGGACAGGCATGGGCCCTGAAAGATGGCCCTTCATCCTGGCCTGACCTTCCCATGCCCCCTGACTTCCTGTGGCGGAGGGATGGAGCCAGGGTCAGCTCCTGGAGGTCCAGGAGAGCCCAGGCTGGTGAGCATGCTGCACGTGGGCCAAGGCCGTCCGGGGAGACTCCCAGATTTCAGGCTGGGGAGATGTGAGTGGGAGCATTTGTCACGAAATAACACAGGGGCTTTGAGGGAAGGCCTTGGAGTGGGCCATAGTGGCCTAGGTGTCCCCAGGTCATCCGGATGCTGGGCAGATGGGTCTAGAGCACAGGACAGAGGTCTGGGTTGCCTCTGCCAACACTTGCAATGCCTCCCAGTGATTCTGTGTCCTTCTAGAACTTTCTCCCTGCTGTCCTTTCCTCTCTCCAAGTTTGCCTTCCCCAGATGCCTACAGCCCGAACCTGTTATCAGGGTGATAACAGGCCAGCGGGGCAGAGAGCAAGTGCCCTGTGGGTGCCTGGTACTACACCTAGAGCCTCCTACTCCCTTACTCTCCACGGGCCTGGAATTAATCCCACTGAGGGGGAAACTGAGACCCAAGACGCGCTGTGACTCTCCCATGTCACTCCACTGCCAGTAAAAGGAAAGGCCCCGAGGAGCCCTCAGAGTAAGAGCCAGCCTCTCGGGGCACCCACTGTGTCCGAGTGAGCGCTGCATAAGTGGGAGGGGCCACGCCCTCTGCAGGGCGGCAACACTGGGGTTTCAGGGTCTGCCCTCTCCTACCTCGTTCCTCTGCCTTCCCGCACTGACCCCACCCCCACCCCCACCGGAGCCGGTGAGGACGGCAGCCCATCTTACCTTTCAGACAGGACAGCTTCAGCCCCATGGCGGCACCGGTGCGGGCCTGCGGAGAGAGCAGAGGCGTGTTTGTATTGGCCACGTGTGGCCCGGCCCCCACCCCCGATGGGTGCACAACAGGAAGTAGTGGGGAGAGAGACAGGGCCTCCAGGTCACGGTGCCTGCTGACTACATCTGGGCTGAATTTGCTCAACGCTGAGTCTGTGCTGGTGGAAAAAACTTTCAGGCACCTCAAAGCTAAACATGCTGGAGGCCGGCTGCGGTCTGGGGTGAAGTTGACGGTGAGGGCGCGGTCAGGGGCTGACGAGGCAGAACCCGCACCACCTGGCCTTTCCTTTTAGGGACCACAGATGGTGGCTGACTTTATGCTGCAAGGACCCTCAGCCATGCTGGACCCTCAGCCAGGCTGGGTGCCCCTCTTTTATTTTTATTATTTATTTTTAGAGAGAGGGGAAGAAAGGGAGAAAGACATTGATGTGAGAGAGAAACATTGATTGACTGCCTCTCATAGGCGCCCCAACCAGGAACAGGGTCTGCAACCCAGGAAAGTGCCCTGACCAGGAATCAAACCTGTGACCTTTTGCTTTGTGGCACGACGCCCAACCAACTGAGCCACACTAGCCAGGGCAGGTGCCCCTCTTTCAAAGTGCAGGTTCTTTGGAACTCTAACAGATTAAGCTATAAGGGTGTGTGGTCCCCAGTCCATAAGCATTAAAATCGTCCCAGCCAGTGTTCCCAGCACCTTCCCGAAATGCGATGCATCCTCAGTGTCCTGGGAATAAACGAACAGAGGCGGCGGCTGGTGGTGCTTGAGCACCTGTGGGCCCCCGACACCCGATCCTCAGCAGCAACCCTGTGGGGTGCTACTGTTGCCCCGTTTCATAGATGTGGAAATCTGGGCTCAGAGAGGCCACGTCACCCAGCTTTCTGAGAGTGGAGCAGGGACCTGAACACGGGGCTGCCCTGACCCCCAGCTGGGGCCTACTCCACGGGGGCCTTTGAGGCTCGTTTCCAGTGTGGAGGGCTCCCTGAGTCTTTGAGAGGCCAATGCAGGGAGCGCAGCTCTCTGTCCAGAGGGTGTCCCGTGTATGCCAGGCTGGACAGGAGGGTGGAGGTGGCCACAAGCGGTGACCCCAGATCTCTGACACAGGTCTGGTCCCCTGAGAGCCCCAGCCCTTGGCTTTGGGACACACGGTCTGCTTGTCCTGCCCGCAGGCTGGGATCGAAGGCAGGTGCCCCTGACATGCAACTGTGGCTTTGCCCACACGCTTGGACGTTCCGCACCCTCCCAACCTCCCTCGTTCCCTGGTGTCAGACCTGCCAGCCCCATCCCCATTTCCCACGTATCCCCCATCCCGGCATCCGATGTGAAAGCGGACCCCACACAAGTGGATATGAGGCCAAACGGGGCACCACCCCTATGCAGCTGAGACTAGCAGAGCAGACAGACACACCAACTGGCTCTGACAGAGGCATCGCAAGCCCAGGGGTACAGACGAGGGCTCCTGCCCCAGCCTGGGAGGCCTGAGGAACATGTCCCTAAAGATAGGCGGGAGTGCCCTGGCCAGGTAGTTCAGTTGGTTAGAGCATTGTACTGATACACCAATGCCAAGGTTGCAAGTTCAATCCCTGGTCAGGGCATGTACAAGAGTCAGCCAATTGAGTGGAACAACAAATCAATGTTTCTCTTTTTCCCTCTCTCTCCCTTTGTTTCTCTCTCAAATCAATAAAAAAATGCTTTTAAAAAATCTTAAGAAAATAAAAGATAGGCAGAAGTGAGCCAAGCAGGGAACAGCCTCTCAGGCCCCAGGAATAGAATGTGCAAAGGTCCAGAGGTCAAGAAGGGCATGGTCCACAGGAGGAACCGAGGGAGGGAGGTTGCAGCAGGAACAAGAGGAGGAGAGGCACAGGTGTGATTACAGGGTTCAGAGGTTATTCTGAGGGAACCGAGCAGCAAGGGGGCATTCCAGGGGGCTGTGCGGGCCAGGGGCCAGCTAGGGAACACAAGGGCCCCCAGACCCCAAACCGGCCCTGCACGGGTGGTGCTGCTGGGCCCACGGCCTCAGCACCCTCAGGAGCTTGTTAGCGATGCAGCACCTCGGGCCCACCCAGACACACTGAGCCAGACCCAGGACTTTAACAAGGCCCCCGGGAGCCGTGTGCTTGTTAAGGTCAGAGAAGCTCTGCTCTGGGTCAGAAATTGTACAGCCTGAACTTCAAAGACAGTGGGGCAGCAGGAGGGAGAAGCAGCTGCAAGTCGGGGTGACACACAGGCTTGGGGGATGGTGGGTCCCCAGGAGGGGCTGGTTTGGAGAAGGGGCCAGGATGAGGGCTTCAATTGTCGCCAGGTTGGGGTTGTGGGGCAGGTAGGGGATGGACTGGAAACACGCACTAGGAGGTGGAATGGGAAAGACTGAGGAAGGGGGGAGAGAGGTGGGGAGGGGGGAGAAAGAAACATACTGAGAGGGGGCAGGAGAGAGACAGACAGACAGACACTGATGCAGCTGGACTCAGATGCTGTGTGTGAAAGGAAGTGTTTCCCCCTTGGGAGCAGGCCCCTGGGTGTTGCTCTCCTGGCTGGGACCAGAGCCTGGCTCAGCCATGCAACCGTAAGCAGGGTCCTAACCATCCTGGGCTCCACTTTTCTCTTAAAATGGGGATGATGCACTTGCAGCCTCATTGAGTAGCAGCAGGAACTGAATGTCGAGGGTGATGGCTGTAAAAGGGCTTCACTCTGTGCCAGGCACACAGCAGAAGTCCAAGAGTGTCAGCTGCTGTTTTTTAGGACAGCAGGGGAGGGATGGGCAGTACTGAACCCCAGTGGGGCCTTTTCTCCGGGGTCTTGCTCCTCAGATTGAGGTCCTGGACCAGCGGCACGCACCACTGGGAGCCTGTGAGAAATGCAGGCTCTCAGGTCCCGCCCCCGACCAAAGGTTCAGGAGATGCATTTTGACAATACCCACGGGATGCTTGTTACCGTTTAAGTGCTAAGCACTGCATCTTCCCGGCACATCGGCACACGGGTAGCACCTGGGTGCTTTTAAAAAATACCTATGCCTCAGTCCCATCGCAGAGATTCCCGCGTAATTGGCCTGGGGTGTGGCCTGGCTCTGCAACTTCTAAAAGCCCTACAAAGGATTCTAATGAGCCGGATGAGATGTTAAGGAAAGGGTTCCCTTCTCAGAGGCAAAGGCTGAGCTGGAGCTGGAGGAAGGGACAGCCCGAGGGAACACGGGCACCATTCTTGAGCATCACTATGAGCTTTGAGCAGGGCCCCTTCACAGATTCGAGGCCAGTTGATTCCCACAAGAGCCCTGTGAGTTTGGAACCATCTCTATCCCCACTTCGCAGATGGGAGAGCTGAGGCACAGAGAGGACAGTTAACTTGGACTCTAGAGCCCAGACTTCCAAGCACAGACCTTGCTTCTGTCTCTCTCCCCAGCCCTCCCCAGGTGGGGTCTGCCCCTGCCCCAGGGGTCCTGCAGCCAACATCGGATCACCAACAAATACACTCAGGGCCCCTGATGGCCACCGTGAGAAAGACACAACATCGCAGCCACACGCGTGGTCTGATTTTATGGTCTATTTTCTTTTTAAAGTGTTGGTCACAACCCACTTAAGAGGTTTTACAACACCATCCCATCCCAGGGTCTGAACAATGATTTATGCTGAGGTCCTCGCGGATGAATCAATACCGGGACTCAGTGGTAAAATACTCCAGAAAAAAGGGGCGCAGGGCAGACACACAGCGAGGGCAGGGGGGTGAGGCCTGCTGCCGCAGCTGGGAAGTGAAGTTCATGCTACACTTGCATGTCTGGAACGTAAAAAAGAGCCACAGGGAAGGCCTTGGCCCGCCAGGGCACAGTGCGGGCCGACGCTCTGTCTGAGGATTCGGATCCTGCGCCGTGTTCTGTGAGAGGGTCCTTGCTTTGAGGAAACGCTGACGTGCTTAGGGTCAAGGTCATCGTTTCTGCAACTTCACTTTCAAACAGCTCAGCCAGACATCATGACATGCACATGTATGTACAGAGAAAGCTGGTAACGCACACATGGCAAGGTGCTCACGTCTCGTGCTGCGTACACAGGACTTCTCTGCACTCTGGTGGCTTTTCTGTGCGTGTCAGGCTATTTCAAGAGAAGTCGACAAAGGAAGAAGCAGAGGCGGAGCAAGTCAGTAGGTTACGTCTCCTCTGTGCCCAGCAGCTGCCCACAGGCCGCAGTTTTGTGTCAGACCCGTTTTCCCAGACCGCTCTGCCTGGCTGGAGGCACGCCCTGAGGACGGGGCTCTGGCTTCGTTCGGGGGGGCTCTGCACTGTGCTGGGCTGGGGGCACCACCTCCCAGAAGAGCCGTCTGGACTGGTAGGTTTTGTCCCCAAAGCTGTCTTGTAACTTTAAAAATACGTATCTTGCCCTGGCTGGGTGTCTTAGTTGGTTGGAGCATCGCCCTGTACACCAAAAGTTTGCAGGTTCGATTCCCGGTCAGGGTACATAGCTGGGTTGCAGGTTCAGTCCTCTGTCAGGGCACAGACCGGATGAAACTGATCAATGTTTCTCTTTCTTGCTCTCTCCCCACCTCTCTAAAACCAATACACATATCCTTGGGTGAGGATAAAAAAATACCTATCTCAAAACCCTCAGGGAAGGAAGAAAAGAAGCCAGAAAACAAAAGGAAACAAGAGGACGAGGCCCCTGACCGGTGCGGCTGGGTTGGTTGGGTGCTGTCCTGCAAACCAGAAGGTCGCCAGTTAGGTTCCTGGTTGGGGCACAGTCTGGGTTGCGGGTCTGGCCCCTGGTCGGGGTGCGTATGGGAGGCAACTGATCAATGTTTCTCTCCCTCACTTTCTCCTTTCCTCCCCTCTGTCTAAAAATAAATAATAAAATTTTTAGGAAAGAGAGAGAGAATGAGGGCCCGGGGGGCCCCCGCCTGGATTTCGGGAACCTGGGGGACCAGAAGCTTCGGCAGAGTGGGGCAGACGTCACATCACGTCACGGCTCACGTCCATGGGCATCAATTCTATTTCAGGTTTTTGAAATTCCCCAGTGGAG